CGGAGAGGCAGGCAGAGGGGAGGCGAATCCACGGGCTCACCGGTGAAGCCTGGAGGGGATAGTTTGCCCTAGCCGTCTAGGGTTGGGGAAGGAAAACGAGAGAAAGTCGACGCTGATTGTATTTCTCCCCTCACCTGATAATTAGTTAATTCAGTTAGTTGACCTATCTGCACTCTATTAAGTCGTCGAGTCCAATACCATTGTGGTATTTATCACAAGAAAATGAGCTTCTTGCATAAACAAATAAATAAGATTCCAATTTTTTTGAGAAATAAATAAGCTTCAGTGTTACATACCGGTAATAAATAGTAGCATTTGCCTAACATTCCTCGTGTTTTGGCTACTCATTTTCATTATACTTGTTGTGTCCCGAGCAGAAGCTTTTGTAACTTAGTTCATCACTTAGAAAAACTGACGATCACACACAAGGAAAAGGGCGGCCGTATATGAATACTTATTACTTCCTTTGTCTCAAAATAAGTCTTTATACTAAAGTTAGTATAAAGTTGAGACATTAATTTTGAAACAGATGTGTACTAAGTTTGTACTATAAATAGTATAAAGTTGAGATACTTATTTTGGGACGGGCATAGTACTAAATAAGAGACGCATGTATTTTTGTGACATATTTGAAAATGCATCTATTTCCCTAGTGTGTTTTCATGGTAAATGTCAACCTGATTGGATGGACCGTTGTTTGTTCAAGCATATTTGAGATTAGTCCCTCAAGGTTGCAACTAAGAAGACTCTAGATGACCCCTACTTCAAGGGCAGACGCCGGGCGCTTTCCGCCCTGTCTCCCTCCAGAATGGGGACGTGAAAATCCTCTGCCGTGGCCTCACCTCGAGGTTACAAAAGCAGATCGGGGCCATCATTGACGTCGACCAGTCTGGGTTTCTGGCGGGAAGGAGCATCTCCGAGAACTTCGTCTATGCTGCCGAAGTGATCCAGAGCTGCCACAAACGAGGGGCGCCTGCCCTCGTGTTCAAGCTGGACTTCGCCAAGGCGTTCGACTCGGTCGACTGGGGGGCGCTACGCCGGATCCTCATGGCGCGCGGCTTCCCCGAGCGGTGGTGCACCTGGATGGACCTGATCTTCGCGTCCTCACGGTCAGCGGTGCTGCTGAACGGTGTGCCCGGGAAGTGGTTCACGGTGCGCCGGGGGCTGCGGCAAGGCGACCCATGCTCACCCTACCTCTTCCTCATCGTCGCCGATGTGCTGCAGTAGATGATCAGGCAAGATGGGGGGTTGTTCCACCCTCTTGTTGATGGCGAGCCCCCCTGGTGCTGCAATATGCCGATGACACGCTTGTCATCCTTCGCGCGGACTCCGGCGCCGCTGCCCGCCTCCGCCGTATCCTCGACGACTTTGCGGCGGCGACGGGGCTGGACATCAACTTCGTCAAAAGTACTCTAGCCCCCATGCACGTTCCCGAGGAGGTGTTGGTGGAGACCATTGGCGCTCTCGGCTGCGCCGTGCAAGGGTTCCCGCAAGCCTACCTTGGGCTTCCGTTGTCGTGGGAGAAGCTCTGCTTCGCAGACTTCCTGCCCATGATTGCGAAGGTGGACAAGTATCTGGCTGGATGGAGAGCTCGTCTTCTCTCCCCAGCTGGGCGTTTGGTCCTGATCAACGATGTTCTTGACGCCCTCCCCACTTACGCCATGGCGGCGATGATGCTCCCGCCTGCGGTGATCAAGGAGCTCGACTCACTCCGTCGGGCCTTCCTCTGGAATGCGGCCGAACGCGCCTCTGGAGCACAATGCCTTGTGGCTTGGGAGCGTGTCTGCAGAACCAAGGCGGAGGGTGGACTGGGCGTCCGAGACCTAGCCACGCAGAATCGCTGTCTGCTGCTCAAGATGCTGCACTGGCTCCACACAGCCTCCTCGTCCTCGAGATGGGCGCTGTGGGTGTGGGCGGAGCTCGACGGCCGCTCCCTTCTCTCGGCAACGGCCGGCAGGAACATGGGGAGCACAGCAAGGCGCTGGGGGGATGCTTCCGTTGTACCGCGGGATCACTAGGGGGACGGTGCGCGAGGGGAGGCGGACGTCTTTCTGGCTCGACTCCTGGCTCCCGTGTGGGCCTCTCGTGGTGGCTCTTCCGGTGTTGTACTCACACACGACGCTGAAGGAGGCCACGGTGTGGCAGGTACGTGCGCGTGGCCTGGACAGTGTGCTGGTGCCCAGGCTTACCACTGCCGGCGCCGTGGAGCGGGCTACCCTTCTGACCCTACTCGGCGACAATGCTATGGAGCCCGGCGACGACGAGCGCACATCGATGTTGTGCTCAGGCGCGCATGGGGGCCTCGTGACGGCGGCCGTCTATGCCCTGGAGAGGTTCGGCGGCGTGCAGGCGTCGTTCGCTGCATTCCTCTGGGGGTGCGCTGCTCCCTCCCGCGTTCGCTTCTTCGGGTGGCTCCTAGTCCAACGACGGATCAACACAAGAGACGTCTTGCTGCGCAAAACCATCGTCACGACGGAGGGGGTTGTCTGCCCTGTCTGTTCGTGCGAGCTGGAGACGGCGGATCACATGGTGTTTGAGTGTCCTTTCGCCCGTTCGTTCTGGCGGGCTGTGGGAGTCGACGTGGTCGACAAAGGCTACCAGGTGGGCGCGCTCCAGGCTCTTGATGTCCGGGGGGTGGTCGGAGATATTGCCTGCGCTACCTTCATTCTTCTGTGCTGCTGGCAGATATGAAAGCACAGGAATGCCGTGGTCTTCCGGGGGGCGGCGCCCTTCCTCGCCCGTCTCCTCGCTTGTTGCAGAGAAGACTCGGCCCTGTGGCGAGGACGCCTGAAAGTAGCTGAAAGGTCGTGCGTCGACACATGGTTGCAGGTGTTCTCGTATCCTGGGAGGTAGCCTGTGC